CCCGCGCTCGGCGCTCAGAGCCCTGCGGGGCGCCCCTGCGCTCGAGGTCCCTGCTGAGCCGGGCTAGGTGGGCTTTGACCCCTCCCTCCTCTCCTTTCCTCCCCCTCTCGCCTCTTCTCCTCCCCTCCCCTTGCCGCGCCTGGCAGAGGGCACGCCTGCTCCGCCTCCTCCCTCGGGAAGGGGGCCGAGGAAGGGGCATGTGGGGTCCCCCCTGACAGTGGCCAGGTCGGGGTGACGCGCGCCCAGATGGCCAAGTGGCTACGGGACTACCTGAGCTTTGGCGGGCGGAGGCCCCCTCCGCAGCCGCCCACCCCCGACTACACGGAGAGCGACATCCTGCGGGCCTACCGCGAGCAGAAGGACCTGGACTTCGAGGACCCCTACGAGGACGCCAGCGACGGCCGCGGGGAGCCGGATCCCGCGAGCCCCGCAGAAGCCAAGTACGACTCTCCCAAGCACCGGCTGATCAAGGTGGAGGCGGCGGACATGGCCAGGGCCAAGGCTTTGCTGGGCAGCCCCGGGGAGGAGGTGCGTGGCCAGGTGACCCCGGAGCCTGGTGGGAGGGGAGAGGGTGGGGCTGTGCTGGGGAACCTGGGGAGGTGTTTCCCTTGGGACCCAGGGGCCGGCCCAGGCGCTTTCCGGCCCTCCATGCGCCCTGGAGCTGCAGTGGCCTTGCTTTCGTGGGCCTGGGTGCCCTCCCACCTCCCTGGCCGGCCCTGCCTTGTCTGTTTTCCTGCCTGTCCCTTCCTGCCAGCTGAGAACATGCCCACCCCTGCTCTCTGCCCCTCTGGCCCCTATGAGTCTCATTTTACAGGCGTGCAACCGGAGGCTCAGAGTGACTTACCCAAGGTCACATGGCCTAGCCCCTGAAGATCTGAGCAGGAGGCCGGCAGGTGGCATAGTGGTTAAGGCGCTGGACTCCCACGTGGCCGACTCTGGTTCCAGTCCCGTAATCAGTGACTGGAAACTCATGCCTGGCATGTATGCCCCACATCCCAAGAGAACGGAGGAGAAGGGGGTGGCGTGGCCGTTCCCTGGGGAGTGATTTCTCACGTCTCTGTCTCTCTCTGGCAAGTGCACGTGTCCTATGGCAAACATGTCTCTTAAAAAATTGAACTAGACCTGTCTCCAGTGCCTGTTCCTTTGCTTTTTCTTTTTTTTTTTTAAAGAATTATTTTATTTTATTCACTCATTCATTCATTTTTAAATTTGACCAGAGAGAGACAGAGAAGGGGAGAGAGAGAGAGAGAGAGAGAAAGTGAGAAAGCAAGCCACCAGGTCCAGTACTCGAACCATGGTCAGCCGTGTGAGAGTGTCCAGCACCTTAACCACCATGCCACCTGCTGGTCCCCTCTTTTTTTTTTTAATTTTTAATTTTTTTTTTTTTTTTAGGTTTTTGCCATGGGGTCTGTGCACTCACCAGAGAGAGACAGAGAGGGAAAGTGAGGAGTCACCCGCCGTGGGGAATGTCCACACCATGGTCCCTCCTACACACATCCTGGTGTGTTTCTTAAGCCACGAGGTCCAGGATTGGGATTCGAACCGTGTAGTCGTCCATGTGGGATCCAACTGCCTTAACCAGCATGCCCCCTCTGGTCCCTGTGTCTTTTCAGTATGTCTTCTAGGGGCTTGGGAGACAAGGCAAAGAAAGCCTTGGGGCAGCAGTTGGCGTAATAGCTATGTCGCTGGACTCCCATGTAGTCGACCGTGGTTCGAGTCCCGAACCCAGTAGCTTAAACTCACGCCAGGCGCGTGTGTGTGCATGCCCAAGATCGTGAGAGGAGAATGGAGGAGAAGGGATTGCGGTGTGGCCACCCCCCCCCCGGGGGGTGATTTCTCACTTTCTATCTCTCTGTCTCTCTCTGTCTGGCGAGCGCACGTGCCCTATAGTGAAAACCTCTCCAAAAAAAAAAAAGAAAAGAAAAGAAAAAGCAAGCAAGCAAGCCTCCAGCAGATAGTAGCCAGGGGAGGGTTTGTGGAGGGCACCTGGTCAGGTCAGGTGGTAGTTAGGAGCACAGGGGAGGTGAAAGGCAGGACGCCGAGCCAGGCAGCCTGGGTCCTAGGCCGCGCTGAGTCCAGCCGTGACCGGTGCCGCTGACCGGCCCTGCTGACCGGCCCTGTGCCGTCTCCCCGGCTGTAAGATTGAGAGAGCAGTGTTACTGAGCGGACAGTAAACCCGGGAAGCGCTTGGCACTGTGCTGGCCTGAAGGAGGGAAAGCAGGGGTGTGGCGGACACTCTGGGGTGGCCGCCCCCCTCCCCACCCCGTCCCCCAAAGGCAGGACTGCGTGGGGAGATGCCAGAGGGCCCGGGTGGCCAGTCCAGGAGTGTAGCGTCACCCCACAGGGTCCCGAGCGGCCATCCTTCCCAGTCCCTGCTCGCCCCTTCCTTCTCTCCCAGCCCGAAGTGGACCCCGAGTATTCGGACCCCTTTGATGCCCGGCCTCACCCGCCGCCCCCCGATGACGGTTACATGGAGCCCTACGACGCCCAGCGGGTCGTGAGCGGTGAGCGGGGAACGGGCAGGGCATGGAGGCGGGGAGGCGGCAGGTCCCGGTGGGAGCAGGCGCTGACCCCGTGCTCGGCCCCCCAGAACTGCCGAGCAGAGGGGTGCAGCTGTATGACACCCCCTACGAGGAGCAGGGCCGAGAGCCAGAGGAGGGGGCCCCGTGCGGGCAGAGGCCTCGGCAGAGCCGGCTGCCCCCGGAGGACGAACGGCCGGCCGACGAGTACGACCAGCCCTGGGAGTGGAAGAAGGACCACATCTCCAGGGCGTTCGCAGGTGCCCCTCCCACCCTGCCCTGCGCGGGCCTGCAGCAGCTCCCACGGGCCGCCCCGCCGTAGGCCCTTCCTCCTCCTAAGGTGGGACTGGCCTGAGCCCTGCGCTGCCCTTCCCGGAAAGCCTGCCTCTGCCTTGGAGACCGCAGGCCTAGAGCGGAATGGGGCTGTTCTTGAGCTCAGGGCGCGGGGTAGGAGCAGCCTTCGCGCCAGCCTCCTTTCCAGTCTGTCCCAGGTCCCCGGATCTCAGGGCTTGACCTGCAGAACGGCGATCACGACAGGACTTGCGCACCGCAGGGCCTGGAAGCCGAATGCTGGGTGGCCTGGTTACACTGGAGCGCCAGCCGCTGCAGGGGCGTGTCGGGGGCCAGCGCGCATCGGTGGTTAAGGCGCTGCACCCCCACATGCCTGACCGCAGTTCGAGTTCCGAACCTGGCAGCTTGCTTTCTCACTTTCCCTCGCTCTCTCTGGTCAACTTTAGAAAATAAAATAAAATAATGATAATGAATATAATTAAATAAAAATTTTAAAAGGGGCATTTCTCTCTTCCTTTCCTCTTTTTCTTTCTTTCTTTTTAAATGATTGTTGGGGTTTTATTAAGGCTTATATTCTCCTAGAATTAGTTTTTTTAAATAATTATTTTATTTAACTTTTAAATTTATTATTATTTTAATATTTCCAGAAAGAGACACACACAGAGAGAGAGAGAGAGGGAAAGTGAGAAAGCAAGCTTCCAGGCCTGGGACTCAAACTATGGTTGGTCATGTGGGATTCCAGTGCCCTTAACCACCACGCCACCTGCAAACCCCTAGAGTTAGATTTAGGGGAAAAATCTATTTATTTATTGTGATTTTTGAGCCGCTGGGTCTGGGACTTGAACCATGGGCAGCCATGTGGGAATCCACCACCTTAACCACTACACCACCTGTTGGCCCCATTTTCTTTTGTTTGTTTAATCTGCTACAAGGTGTATGCGCTCTCCAGAGTGACAACAACAGAGAGGGGGTGAGAAATCACCCCCCCGCCGCCCGGGAAGGCCCCGTCGCCATCCCTTCCCCATTCCCTTCTCGGGGTTCCGGGCACGCGTGTGCACGCACATATGCACGGTATGCTTCTCCCCGAGCTGCCAGTTCCGGGACTCAAACTGCAGTCAGCCCTGTGGGCCTCGCCACCCTAGCCACTGCCGCGTGCTAGTCCAAGAGCAGCACTTTTTAAAGAGAGACAGAGACAGAGAGCGAGAACTCACTCCCCGGGGGATGGCCACGCCACAACCCTTCTCCTCCATTCTCCTCTCGGGATTTTAAGCATGCACATATATGTGCCCAGTGTGAGTTTAAGCCATCCGGCCCTGGACTCACACGGCAGTCGACTCTGTAGGAGTCCAGCACTAGCCATTACGCCATCTGCTGGTCCCCCAAGGGCAGGTTCCTTTCCTTTCCTTTTTAAAATTTTATGTATCCATTCTTTTTATTTTAGTTTGACCAGAGAGAAATAGAAAAAGAGAGAGAGAAAGTGAGCAAGCAAGCCACCAGGTCCAGGACTCGAACTGTGGTCCGCCATGTGGGAGTGTCCAGCACCTTAACCACCATGCCACCTGCTCGTCCCAAATTATCATTAATCATTTCTTTTTTCCTTTTTTTTTTTTTT